GTTTAGACACTCCCCTTACTGACCCTGATTTGACCCTCTTCTGAGATGGCAGTTCCTTCATGGAAAATGGGACAAGAAAGGCAGGATATACAATAGTGACTTTACATCACACTTGAAAGTTCCTCACATCTGGAACTAGTGCTCAACTAGCAGAACTTTACAATACAGTAAAAGACAAAAAGTCAATATTTATGCTGGTTCAAAGTATGCTTTCCTAGTATTGCATGCCCATGCAGCCATATGGAAAGAAATTAACAGCCAATGGACCTCCTATAAAGTATCATAGGGACATAGATGAACTTTTGTCATCTGTCTATAGCCTCTCCAAAGTGGCAGTAATTCACTGTAGAGGACACTAAAAAGGAGTTGACAAAGTATCTCAAGGTAATCAACTTGCTGATAGAGCAGCAAAAGAAGCTACTTGAGGGCCCCTCCTTCAGGCCCCCCAATCTGGAAAGGGTTCTTTGATCATATTCAACCCAAATATTCTCAGAAATCAAATGCGCTCTCTTCCATGGGTATCAGTTCCTTCCATCAGGTTGAGTCAGATGATGGTAAATTGTTCCTTCCTAGTCGATGGAAAATTATAAAGTCTTTACATCACACCTTTCATTTGGGGAGAGACAAGACTCAGCGGATGACCTCAAAGTTGTTCATAGGGAAGGGACTTACTTTCTTAGACAATGCAACAGATAGTTAAGATGTGTGAGCTTTGCCAAAAGAACAATCCTTTTAACCAGACCATATGCCCTCCAGGTATACAGAGACTTGGTAAATATCCTGGAGAGGTTTGGCAACTGGACTTTACTCCTATGCCAAAGAGTTAGGGACTTCAATACCTATTGGTCTGGGTAGGTATTTTCACAAAGGCCTTTCCTTAGAAAGAGACGCAGGAGGTGGTTAAAGTTTTGGTTTCAGAAATCATACCAATTTGGGCTTCCTAAGAGCTTACAGAATGATAGCGGGCCTTCCTTTAAAGCTACAATCACACAGTGTGTCTCTCAGGCCCTGGGTGTTCTCTATCACTTCCTATGTGCCTGGGGGACACAATAATCAGAAAATGTAAAAAAAAAAAATAATGAATGAGACTCTAAAGATGTATCTTCACAAAAAGGCTCGGAAGACTTACCTACAGTGGTCTCACTTAGTATCATTTTAGCTAAAATAAGAAATATACCTCAACCTCTAGGCCTCAGTCCATTTAAAATACTTTTTGGACCTCCTTTTCTCACTAATGATTTTCTCTCTGATAGAGAAATAGAAGGGGCTAGGGATTTAGCTCAGTGGTGGCACCGCCTGCCTTGTAAACATAAGATCCTGAGTTCAGTCTCCAGTACCAAAAAAAAAAAAAAGAGAGAGATCAGAGAAACAGATGCTTTACTAAAAGGTAGCACTTCAAGATATAAAACATATCTGTTGGCTAAATCCCAACAGATTCTTCAGCTAACAGAAACTCACCTAGAGAAAGAGGAAATCTCATGTTCCAACTTGGAGGTTTAGTACTGGTAATGTCTCTCCCCTCACCGTCTCCTTCCCTAGGACCAACTTGGGAAGAACTGTGTACCACAGTCCTGCCTACTCCATCAGCTGTCAAGGTAGCAGGCCGGGACTCCTTGATACATCACACCTGACTCAAGCCCTGGGAATCAGAAGTCCCTGCGGAGTGTAAGCCAATACCCAAATACTCCTGTGAACTCGGAGAAGACTTAAAATTCTTGTTCAAAAAAGAAAGCAAAGCCTTCAGATAAGTAATCTGAGGTGTTACTCTTAGCCCTTTTACTAATCCCCTCACCCCTTAAAGGAGAGTGCAATACTTTTCTAAGGTGGGCACAAGAGTACCCAGAGCTGTTACAACAAATGTCCTGCTAGATATGTGACCTGCTCCCCTTGTCAAGTACATCAGGACTTCCTTGATGGGTATCTCCACTTCAAGGTGATTAAAATAAACTACAAAGCCAGGCGTGGTGGTGCACACCTGTAATCCCAGCACTCAGGAGGCTGAGGCAGGAGGATCGCTGTGAGTTCAAGACCAGCCTGGGCTCCATGGTGAGTTCCTGGTCAGTCTCAACTACATAGTGAGACCCTGTCTCAAAAAAACAAAACAAACAAACAAACAAATAAAATAAGCTACAAGATTATATTGATGACACATGAAAAAAATTCCACGGTTCTTGGTTCAGCCCACGGTTACAAGGTAACTGAGTAGCCTACAAACTTCATCCTTAATGATCCTGGGCATAATCAAGTTTTTTTCTAACAATGCCACTGACGCCTCTCTATAGGCTCTAGTAAAACCCTTATTAAATAGAAATAAGGGTTTGAGCATGAGGCACAGCAACCACAGGTATCAAGATGGCTATTTTAGGACTTGGGATAATTCTTTATGGTTAACCCCCACTACAGGACACTTTAGTAGAGAGGCCCCTTATGTTGGAAAGAGAAGAGTCACTCTTGTTCTCATTGGCCTGACTCTTACTAAATACTTGGGTGGACATCCCTGAGCGGTGTACATATAATAACTTCACAGGCTGAAGACTTGTTAGCCACAAACTGGTTTAATTGCCCTGGCATTAGATGGGAGGCCCCCAGTGGCACGTACTGGTCCTGTGGAATCAATTTGTGGCCCTGACTACCCCCAGATGGATTGGGAGGTGCACCCTGAGATTTGTGTGGTTTCAAGGCAGAAGTGTCCGAAGCATCAACAGACCTGCAAACTTACCCCACCTGCAACAATGATGATCTAGAGTGTTTCTCTGGTGTGATCACTTGGCTTCTATCTTTATCCCTTCCCTAGAGTTAGAAGATGTCATACGACATGCTGAGGTCTTAACTAATTATACTCAGTGGGCCTGAAATGACACCTCAACTAGTCTCTCTCCTAACTGAAGAAGTAAAGTTAATGAGAACAAGCTGTCCTCCAAAATCAGATGGCATTAAACATTCTAACTGTAGCACAGCACGGTACCTGTCTAATTATAAGAGCTAAATGTGTGTATTCCTGATGCTTCCGCTGATATCTCAATAGCTGTTCAAAATATTGAACAAGAAGTTAATACCATGTCAGATTCTGAAATCCCCTGGACCTTCCCCTTATCCTCCTTGTGGGAGGCTGGTTCCTCCTGGTAGAAACATTTGTTAGCTATATTCATGACAATCATATGGGCTGGAGATTTAGCTCAGTTGGTTCCTCCATTTGCTCGAAAGCACAAGGTTCTGAGTTTAATCCCCAGTACCAAAAAAAAAAAAAAGCCAATCTTGTTTTGTTTTTTTTTGCTGTTGTTGTTGTGGTTTTTTTTGTGGTGGGATCAAACTTGGGTCCTCACATTTTCAAGGCAGGCGGTGGAACCATTGCGCTAAATCTCTGGCCCATGCATTATTAACTGTTTCTTTTGGCCTTGTGTCCTCCAGACTTAAAGTTATGCAAGCACCCAAGATCTATCCAGGGCCCCTAGATAGACGCTCTATAGGGTTTCTGTAACTGCCAATCACAATGATGACCCTCTTCAGCCAGAAACGGCTAGAATGGTCTTTGCTCCTGCCCCTGGCAGCAGTTGGGGTTACTTCTTCAAAGGGGGCCTATTGTAGGCAGCTAAGTTAATTAGATACTGGTAGATAATAGGCAGTTAGGGCTGGCCCTCCAAGGGGTCAATACAGAATATAGTGAGGCACATAAACTAAAGGCCAAGATTCAAAAAAGAAGAATGACTTATACTCACATCACCTAGGGATGAGCAACAGTGAATGCCATTCTAAACAGGCATCAATCGCCTTGGGGGAGGACCAAATCTTCCCTAGCCCGTTCCTTCCTGAAAATCCTTGCTCAGTCCATGCCTGCTTGCTACGTGACTTCCTTCCCCATTTGACCCCCATGTAATCAATATTACCCAAGTGACTATATTTGTAATCTTACTGGTTGACTATAGTTTTGTACCCACCTCATCTCATGGCTTTGCCTCGTCTCCTAAGAAGCCAGATCCCAGCCAACCCAGTTTCCGGGCGTCCCCTCCTATCCCTCTCAGGCAGGAGCTGTCTTTCCCTCAGCAATTATTCCCTACTCCATGTTTTTTGTTTTTTGTTTTTGGAGACAGGATCTCACTACGTAGTGAGACTGACCTGGAACTCACTGTGTAGCCCAGGCTGGTCTCGAACTCACAGCGATCCTCCTGCCTCAGCCTCCTGAGTGCTGGGATTACAGGCGTGCTCCACCACACCCTGGCCAATTATTCCCCTATTCTTAACCTCCATTGTTCCTAGAATTCATTCTTCAATTTCGGAGAACATGAACTTGGCATTTCAGATATCTAGCAGGTTAGGAGTTACAATATTTGCCTTTATTTAAATTATTTAGAGGTCCTATATTGTCCCTACCCTGTATCAGTGCCATGGGAACAACTTTGAGAGAGTAGGAAAGCCAAGGTAGCTGGAGCGCAGTTAATGGGGGGTGCGTATTGGAGACGGCTTGGAGGGAAGCCTCAGGGGCAGCTGCTGAGTACAGGCCAGATCGGAGAGGCTGGGGTGCATGGATGGTGTGGGTGTCGGGCGGGGTGTAGGCTAGGCTGGCAGGCCTGGCTGGTGGAGTGGCTGAGAGTCTGCTGCCGGGCTAGGACTGTGCATGGCGGGTACACACACACACGCACACTTCACTAGAAGGCTGAGGATAGGGCAGATGCCAGTCTGGAGGCTGCCCCGCTCCACTGGCCGGAACCCTGGAACCTCTGAATGAAAAATGCTGAGCTCTGCAGATGGTGGGAGTTGTTACGTTTGCATTTGAATTCACCTCAGAATCTTCGTGGAGCCCAGGTAGGTGGCTAATGGTGGGCGTGGGCTTCCAGGTGGTAACGCAGGAGGGTTCTGGGCCAGAAAGCCCGGGGCAGGGCCCAGGCCATCCACGCAAGGGTCAGTGGCCAGCGCCTTCCCTTCCGCCTGTAGACCGCTGATAGGCGAGAGGAAATCCTGGCTAGTTCCTGTGGGGGTGAGCCGGTGGGGCAGCTTTTAAAGTGACTGCCCACTCCGTCCTGCCTGCCTGCCCTGCGCCTGCATCTCAGAGTTCACTCCCCAGCGGCTGCTGCAGAGACTTCAGACTTCTGACTTCTGTCTTGGACCGCAGGCCTGCTGGCCACTGTCGGCCATGGCAGAGCCCCAGGGCTGCCTCCTGCTCTTCCTCCTGGCCTCCTTGCTGGCTGGCTCCGGCTTCATTTGGGGGCAGAAGGTAAGTGTGAGCCTGTTTTAGAGGGCAGGAGTGGGGAGGGACCAGATGCAGATGGAGCATGGGTCTGGGGACATAAGGAGCCACAAATGCCTCCCTGACCTGGGTGGACCGGTAGCTGGGCTGTCGTTATGCCCACACCCACAAGCTGAGGACTGTTACCAGGGTGCAGGTGTGTGTGCAGCCTGCCTCCTCTAACCATGCCTGGCCCAGCCAGCCATATGGTGTGAGTAGCTGTCCTGGGGTCCCGAGCCTGTGAGTCAGAAGGCACAGAACCAGACCCATCTTCCTGTCCCACCTGGAGGTCCACAGAGACTCCTGTTCCGGTGCTCCTGACTACCCAAGACAGCCTGGGGGTGGAGTGAGTCCCCACCTTCAGTGCCGCTGGGGCAGAGTAGCCAGGGATGACATCTTCAGGCTCCGAGCTGCCGCTGACCAGGTCTGGGCCAAGCCCCCCGTGTCCTCACGGCCTCCCAGCAGCACAGCTTGTCCTTCCCGTGAGGAAGCTGAGGCCCAAGAATGAGAGCAGCCAGCTCTTCCCACGCTGGAGCCTGCTCCGGGCCTTCTCCCGTGAGTCCCCACGCGGGCCCTCTGGGGCTGGGCAGGAGCCTGGCGTGGTGGAGACACCGCTCTTGATGAAGCTTTAGGAGCCAGAGTCCCCTGGCTGGGACCTGCCACCGAGTGAGGCAGGGAGGACTTATCCTGTGAGGCCAAGTTCATGTGCTGCGTGATTCCGTTCACTGTGGGGAACTGGTGCATGTATAGAGCACATCGCAACTCTTTCTTCCATCTAAAAGGCTTTTTTTCTTTTCTTTTTGCTAGCATCAATTTATTCATTTTATGCCTTTATCAAGTTGTCATAAACACAGATTTATAGCCAGACTAACAGGCAAAAACGCTATAAAATACCCAAGACAATTACACTTATCAAGTTCCACTTTTAGATACGTCGGCCATGCTGGGTTAGAATAACATTCTCTCTCTTTTTCCTATTGTATTTTGTTCTTTCTGTATTGAATTTCTCATATGAGACAAACCAAGCAATAGTTAAGCTTATGATTTACTTCACCTAACAGTGTGGTCTTAAGTGCGCCCGTTTTCCTACAAATAAGTGTGTCCTTCGTGGCAGAGTAGTATTCCATTGTGTATAAATAGCACAGTTTCTTTATCCATTCATCTATTGATGGACATAAAGGCTACTTCTATGATTTAACTATTATGAATTGTGCTGCAATAAACATGGGTATGCATGTATCACTATAATATGATAACTGTAACTCTGAGGAAGATCCCTAGAAGAGGAAAAGCTAGGTTGAAGGAATTTCTAGTTTTCATTTTTTGGGGAATCTCCATTCTGATTGCCATGGTGGTTACACCAGTTAACACTCCCCCCCCCCCCCCGCCCACTCACCTGTGTCCTGAGTCAGCCACCACTGTCCCCGAGCACTCATGGGCAGGCTGAGGTTCAGAAGGGCAAGGCCTTGCCCAGCCAGTGCCCAGTTCCCCCGCTGACCCTGGGCTCTTTGTCTTGAGTTTGTTGTGGGCTTTACAAGGGCGGCAGGGAGAACAACTTCAGGGCCAGCTAGGGGTAGGGTGGCCGTTGTGAGGTTGACAAGGGGAGAGTGACGTAGGATAGCCACAGTTTCCAGGGCTGAGCTGAGCCCTGAGGCAGGAAACTCCTTACCTCAGTTTCCTAGCGTGCGTGGTGCAAGAGAATTCACAGGCTCTGACTTTCACATTCTGGCAGTCGGGACTGAGGCAGTGAGCGGTCCAGGTCTTTTCCTTGTCAGAGACATGTAGTCCATTCTTGGGCTGGGGCCAAGCCAGAGTGGCCCGGGAAAAATGCCTGGGGCCCCTCATCCCACGCTCCCCCCCCCCGCACCCTGTGTGGCACGAAAACCATGGGGACTGTTAGGACTTCAGGGTCCTCCGAGGGGAAAGGGCTTCCCCTGGGTCACAGAGCAGCAGAGGCAGAGAAAGCTTGCTGTGCAGGCATCTTGGCACCTTGTCCACCCAGCAGCCTCCTGCCCAGCACCTACTCGGTGCTGGACACAAGCCTGTGGCAGGGAGAGGGCCATTGGCCAGAACCCAGCCCTGGCCCTTCTTGCTCTGACCCAGGGTAAGGGAAGCAGTTTGGGGCACCCTCTCCCTTGGAGGGAGGTTGGATTCTGGGCTGTCAGCCCCAGAAAGTCTAGAAGCCTGGGCCCAGCTTGGGGGAAATTCTTCCCTTCTCCCAACACCCTCAGTATTTCCTGTCTCCTCCACGTCCTCCAGCAGAATCTCTGTGGGAAGCAGACACTGCAGACTCAGCTCTGAACTGCGGAGGGGAGGGTGGGCTGGACCCACTGTGGGTCTGGCTCTGGAAGGCCCTGAGGCGCCCCAGGAAGGAGGGGACCTGTGGTCCAGCCTCACTCCGCCCGGCATCACCAACAGCAGGACTGTGAGGTCCAGCCACGGCTGGGGCTTACAGACGCCTGGGTGGACAGAGCCTCAGCGCCACCAAGGGTGTGGCCTGTGGAGAGTTGGCAGCTGGCTTATCCATCCATCACCACTTCACACACACTGACAAAGCTCCAGCTTCCTGCCGAGCATGGTGGCGCACGCCTGTAATTCCAGCACTCGGGAGGCTGAGGCAGGAGGATCGCTGTGAGTTCGAGACCAGCCTGGGCTACACAGTGAGTTCCAGATCAGTCTCAACTAC